GACGATGGCCTAGCTTGGAGGGCCCAGAGTACAGAGAGGACTGTGTGGCTGCCCCCACAGCGAGATGCGGCATCCTGCACTGACACACGGCCCTGCACGGGACAGCACCTTGATAGTTATTACTTTTTTCTAATCATGGGAGAAAAGGAACCCAGGTGACGATATGAATAGTTGAAAAGTGGTTACAAACTTGGAAGTAAGGGCAACAGCCATCTATGACAACCCAAGTTGATTACTGAGAATCAAAGGGAGACAGCTTCAGAACTCTTGGAATGTACAGCATTATGCACTCTAGGCTCCCACCTTAGGTTAGGGCAAAAATCTTACAGCCTTCTTTCTATTTTATATATTCACATTCTATCTCACATATATATTCTCAATTTTTTAAAGAATAAAGTGCAGAGAAGAATGTGCATCTTCTAGTGCCATTCCAAAGAAAACCTGTTCACAATCTTTGCCAAATCTGCTACTTCTCTGTGCCAAAGCAAAAGCTGTGACATCTACTCAAAACACTGCTATGTTTAGCAACAGAGCAAATAACTGCTATAACAGCCTTCTGGCAAATTGTTCTTTTAAATTGTTCATTACATTAGACACCCGTGGCCTACAGAGCAAACGACAGTATTTGCAGATGTTTCCCCAGTGTCTTTTCATATCCCTTAAAGAAAGGAAAGATCGTTTTTTAAGTTCAGAAATGAAAATGTGACAGAAAAGTATCAAAGGGTAATGCAACCCCTCATGAATAATATTATTGATGTTCACATTGGAGAAGAGCATTCATCAGGCAGATGTAAAGCCAAAAACAGAATAACCTAAGCATTCAATAGAATGTCTCCAATGGAATTTTTTCAAGTAATGTTATCATAAAGCCTTAGCTTTTTAATAGTCATAGGGTACAAATGCAAACATTAAATCTAAAAGTACTTCCATGTAGAGACCTGCATTTTAAAATCTATTCCCACAGAGGTGTGCAGGTGTGGTGTGTGGTCATGCCATAAGGATTAAGGGTGTTTTTTAATAAACAAAGCATATTTGTGAGATATTTTTCAAGGTTTGTAACTTATGACCAAAAATGGGCTCTTGTTTAACTCTCCCTTTTTCTTTTCCTATTCCCTTGGCATTCTTCTGAAAATGTAGTCTTAAAACTACTCAGTTGGCCGGTGGAAAATAGTCAGGACGGGTGTTGGGGGTGTGGTCAACCAGAGGGAGCAGGGTGTGTGTGTGGGGGGGGCGGGAGCTCTGTAGAGATGGGCTAGCTCTTGTAGGTGAGGTGAGAGGGAGTGTGGAGGGTGCTCCACGGGGATAGCAATGGTGCTGATGTTATACCTAGAAAAGCTGCAGGGGTGCGTCCCCCTGGAGCCACCTGCTCTGGGGAGTCATTTTCTAAAGAGGACAAGGAGGATTCCCAAGCAAGAGGAGAATGACATCCTTGTAAATGAGAGACCTGGCCAGAGGAGTCAGAGCCTGAATAGACTGTTTACATAGGAACATGGATCTCAGAGGGGTCCCCGAAACCAATCAGAGAAAGACATTTGTACGGGATAGAAAGTGACACTGAACTTTTGCCCATGGAAGGGGGACAATTCCGAAAAGCTGGATGAGATCTAGGAAAAACATTTGTAATCTAGAGACTGCCTATATATAATATGTTTTATACCATCCAAATCACATAATATCCTCTCTTAATAAACATATTGTGGAGATTAAGTGAAGCATGTAGTAAGTTAAAAATTGCTATACAAATCAAAAAAGAATTTATTCTATAAGAATATAATATATATTCAGTCATTTTAGATGTGGGGAGTAAACTATTAGATTTCATTTAACAAAATAACCTACATAGATGACTAAATTGCTAACAATAGAAAGCTATTAACATAGCTTTAAAACTTTTTCTCTAAATTAAAACCACAAGTATATTCTCATTCTACATATACCATATTCTATCCAATGCCACCATGTTACTGTCATGTTTTGTCATACTGTGGTAGTTTGGTGATGTAGTGGTTCGCGTTGGGTCGCTAACCACAAGATGAGTCATTGAAACCACCAGCCCACTTCGTGGGAGAAATAAAGACTGTCTGCTCCTATAACGAATTAGTCTTGCAAACTCACAGGAGCAGTTCTGTAGCAGGTTGCTATCAACTCGATGGCAGTGATTTTGTTTGTTTTGTTTTATTTTGCTTTGATGGTAGCTTGTGTGTGCTATGATTTGGGAGATAAACCACCAGTATTTCAAATACTAGCAGAGGAATCCATAATAGATAGCTCTCAACAGAACTTTCATATTTAGACCAGGAATAAAAGTCTGGTGATCTACTTTAAAAAATGCAAATCTTATGGATCAAACAGAACATTGTCCAACTCACTTGCTTTTGACACAATCCATTGCTGGAGTCAGACATCATGTGTGGTGAAACATGGACCAATTAGGACATGAGGCAAATTAGTGGTTTTCACAGACATAGTAGCCACATCAATGAGTGTGAACATTCCAGCAACTGCGCGGAGGGCACCAAATCAGAAAATAGTGTGTTATGTTGTCCATAAAGTCAGCCAGAATTGGAATTGACTGGATAGCATCTATTATCTATCTATCATCTATCTATTATCTATCTATCATCTATCTATCTATCTAATCATCTATCATCTATCTATCACCATCTATCATCATCTATCAATCATCTATCATCTATCTATCATCATCATCTATCTACCTATCATCTATCTATCTATAATCAATCATCTATCTATTTATATATCTAATCTATCATTATTTATCTATCATCTGTCTACCTATCATCTGTCTATCTATCATCT